CCCACCCACGACCACCCCCCCACCCCACCACACACACACACAAAAACAGGAAAGGATAAAAACAAAGCCACATGGTGCATCCCTTATCCAGTGGCTCAGACTGCAGATTATGTAATTAGACTGTAATCTATTACAGGCCTGGACCCCATACATGGAAAGCACCTTGCACACCTATGGCAATATATCAACAATAAAGCATAGTAAAAGTGAGACATGGCTGACCCCAAATCCCTAATATGAACATCCTCAAACTTTGGAGAAGTTTGGATCTGAATTTTAGTGGTTTTGGCCTCTCTCTAGTATGATTTGGCGTTAACTTACAATGTTTATGGCTAGATATTTTACATGGCAACACTCTATTTGGTCTATCCACATCTCAGTGCAGATTTATCCATAATTCCTTGTGCAGCAAAACAAGAACAGTTCATAACTTTCTATAATAAAGGTTAGATCACTGACTACTAGCTTCAATGTGGGACAAATTTATTTGTAAAGTAAAATCACGGAAACCATTCTCTGTGCAGGAAACTTGTGCAACTATTTTGACTTCAGTGGAGCTATGACAATTTACATGAGCTAGAATCTGGCCCCATATATTTAGACCGATTACAGATCAAAATTAAGTTAAAAGAAAATATTTCCCAACACAAAGGAATTGGGGGGGTAATCTAAGTATTTTAAGACTTGCAGAGGTGTATTCTCCTCTTTCTATTATGCCATTAACACTGGTGTTTATGGGAGCTATGTATTCATTTCAAAAGGAGAACCATCTTCTATGAAATACATGTATATCTTGTTTGGAAATGTGCAATGAAACTTTAAAAAATAAAACAAGTACTGTACCATGGGCAGCCAGTATAGCATCGGTCCTATTGCATAGATCACCACAAGTATCAAAATACAAGATATAAGGCAAGCCACCTAAAAACAAACAAACAGGGAAAGCACAATAATGTTATTCAATATTTATAGCCAATTGAAAGTCAGTTGAATATAGTGGGTTTGTCAGAAATGGTCAGAATAACAGAACATTATAAACACAAAAGATAAAGGAGACAGACTACAGATTTTGGCTATCAAATCTGTGGATTGGAACCATGTGCGGATCATTTAAATTTTCACCTCTGGTGGATTTCCTCTAGCCACTAAATGCACGAATATCTGGATCAGATATCAACAATGGGCTTGACTTGATGTCAGATACATAGGCACAAATCACTTGTAAAATTGGCTACTCTAAGGGCACGTGTGTGCAGTAATTTCACGAGATCTGCAGCAATGTATGCCCATTCTGTACTTGTATTTATGGTAACATGCCCTTCATATTGTGTCGTTTCACAACAGTTTATCCCTACACTGAACAATGCAATAGTGATATTTGAAGAACTCTAGATCTGTTGGTTGTTTTTGAATAGGAGGAGCTCTTTTCTTCCTTTATTATGAGAAAACATTTCCCTTGTACGATCAGGTATCAACAAAGATTCCTGCATTAGCATTGAAGCATTTTACCTTTGGTTGGTGCATCAGTAAATCATAATCCCCAATATCAGAAAGTTAATGGTTTATGCAGGAAACATGAATTGAGGCAAATGCATGTATTATCACATAGTGTTAATCTGGTGGAAAATTACAAAACAAAATAATCCTGTTTAACAGTAGGAATAAAACCTCAAAATGTACTCTAGATCTCAATCAAATCCTCTCCAGGGTTTGGTGATAAATATATGCCCGCTTGCTTTATTAGGATACTGATTGTGTGTGTCTCTAATAAAGTTATCAGGGCACACATTAAGGGATGATTTAACCAAAAATAAAATGTCAGGGAAAAGAAAGGGAAAAGACAGATGCTGATATCACCTGAGGGAATATTTATCAAGCCTGGGATCAGGTCTCATTTCTTGCAGTTGCTAGATTAAGGTATCATGAAGAGGAAAATGCTCAGGATCCTACTAAGTCCAAGTAGAGGTTCTTGGAAAACATGAAGTCCACTATAGATTCAAATAGGGCTGGTACTAGTCCTTGTGGGGCCCCTTATATCTCTCTCATGATATACGACTTAATCCACTGACTTCTATGCATTCAGAACATCCACTGCCTCTGCTCTGCTTGTTGTTGTCATCACCATTTGTTTGTGACATTCTTCAGCCTCTGCTTGCCACCCCACCTATATGGACCAAGAAACTGGGAAGTCAAACTGAAGTGCACCTTTCCAAGAGGCAGAAGAAGAAAAGAGTAAAGAAATTTAGTCTGTCATAGCACTGGGGTTAGAGAAGGCCACATACAGGAAATTGGCACTCTAGTTGGCAGGTCAGGTACTACAGTGATGAGCATGATAGAAGAACCTGAATTGAATAGAAAAGGATAGAAGGGCACATATAGCATAAGGTCCATGCAATAACAGAGCCTACACAGCCACATAGTTGGTGCACAGCTGGTGGTGGAATAGAGCAGTGGTCTCCAAACTGTGGGACATGCCCTCCTAGGGGTGGTGCGTAGGAATGTTCAGTGGGGAGTGGCGGGGCCAGGGCCAGCGACCAGGGGTGGTGAGGAGAAAGCGCCACCCAGCCCCGCTCTGCCCCCAGCTCTGATACAGCCCCGCTCCCAGACGGGACCCCAGCTCCTGGCTCCCCACCATGGCCTGGCCACAACTAAGCACCCGCCCCCAGCCCCGGCCCCTAGCCATGACCCCAGATCCACCCCCAGTCTCAGTCCCTTACCCCTGTCTGTGCCCCCCTCCCCTTGGGAGCGCAGCCCTACTCCCAGCCCCAGCTCCTGGGAGTGTCTTTCCTGAGAGCTGGCCATATGCCTTTGCATGTGATCCAGAACTAAATCACAGACATACAGGGGCACATTCCCTCCTATGTTAGAGTTCTGATTGACAAAGGATAGGGAAGGTATCAGGGAGCCAGGTTGAGCTGACTAATTCTGACTAATTCCAACCGTGAGCCTGATGCATTTTAGAGCTGCTCCTCGCATAGGTACCAACTCCATGGGTGCTAAAGAGGAGGAGCACCCACTGGGAAAAAATGGTGGGTGCAGACCACCCACCGTCAGCCCCCCTATTATCTCACTGCCCGCCCACCCCCAGTGCCTCCCACCCGCTGGTGGGCCCCAGGGATCAGCGTCTTCGCCTCTCTCCCCATGCCTCCCACCTGCAGCGAACAGGTGTTTCGCGGCATGCAGGAGGCTAGGAGAGAAGTGGGAGGAGTGAGGATGCGGCATGCTCAGGGGAGGGGGAAGAACAGGGCGGGGCCTGGGGGGAAGGTGTGGAGTGGTTTCGGGGTCTGGGTCAGAGCCAGGGGTGCAGCACCCCAGCACTTTGAAAAGTCGGTGCCTGTGGCTCCTGGGTACTTTTAAATTATGCCACTGGCAGAGTGAAGCAAAGCTCCAGTTCACTGTTCCTACCCGTGGGGGAGGAGTAGGGCTTGCCAGGGCAGAGGTGTGCCAGCAGGGAGTTCCCCTATGCCAGGGAACTCTCTGCAGGTGACTTACAGATGGATTTTTGGCATCGTTATGCCACCAGACAAGCACAAAGGAGTCGTAACCAATCAAGCCCATGGGAAACATCATGATTTCATTCTATTTATACTTCCCTTCAACCATACAGGCCTTCATGGTCCTCTACAACTTCCTAGAAGATAGCTGGATAAGAGGGAAGGTCCTCATATGTATCAGTAACAGATTAAAAAATAGGAAACAGAGGATTGGAATAAATGGTCAGTTTTCAAAATGGAGAGAGGTAAAGAGTGGTGTCCCACAGGGGTCTGTACTGGGACCAGTACTAGTCAACATATTCATAAATGATCTGTGAAAAGGGGTAAACAATGAAGTGGCAAAATTTGCAGATGATACAAAACTACTCAACACAGTTAAGTCCAAAACAGACTGCAGAGTGTTACAAAGGAATCTCACAAAACTGGGTGACTCAGCAACAAAATGGCAGATGAAATTCAATGCTGATAAGTGCACATTGGAAAACATAATCCCAACTATACATATAAAATGATGGGGTCTAAATGAGCTATTACCACTCAAGAAAGAGATCTTGGACTCATTGTGGATAGTTCTCTGAAAACATCCACTCAATTTGCAGCAGCAGTCTAAAAAGCTAACAGAATGTTGGGAATTATTAAGAAAGGGATAGATAATAAGACAGAAAATATCATATTGTCTTCTATATAAATGCATGGTATGCCCACATCTTGAATACTGCGTACAGATGTAGTGGCCTAATCCCAAAAAAGATATATTGGAATTGGAAAAGGTTCAGAAAAGGGCAACAAAAAGGATTAGGAGTATGGAACGGCTTCTGTATAAGGAGAGATTAATAAGACTGGGACTTTTCAGCTTGGAAAAGAGACGGCTAAGGGGGGATATGAGCAAAGTCTATAAAATCATAACTGGTGTGGAGAAAGTAAATAAGGAAGTGTTATATACTTCTCATAATACAAGAACTAGGGGTCACCAAATGAAATTAATAGGCAGCAGGTTTAAAACACACAAAAGGAAGCATTTTTTCACACAACACACAGTCAGTCAGTCTGTGGAACTCCTTGCCTGAGGACGTTGTGAAGGTCAAGATATAACAGCGTTAAAAAAAAAACTAGATTGATCCATCAGTGGCTATTAGCCAGGATGTGCAGGGATCGTGTCCCTAGCCCAGGGGTGGGCAAACTACGGCCCGTGGGCCACATCTAGCCCACGTGACCGTCCTGCCCAGCCCCCAAGCTCCTAGCCTGGGAGGCTAGCCCCCGGCCCTCCCCTGCTGTCCCACCTCCCACGCAGCCTCAGCTTGCTCACTCTGCCGCCAGCGCAATGCTCTGGGCGGTGAGGCTGTGAGCTCCTGGGGCAGCGCAGCTGCAGAGCCCGGCCTGACCTGGTCTCTGTGCTGTGTGGTGGCGGCGGCGGCAGCGTGGCCCAGCTCCAGCTATAGCGCCGCCAGCCACCGGTGCTCCAGGCAGCGAGGTAAGGGGTCAGGGAGGGAGGGTTGAATAGAGGGCAGGGGAGTTTGGGGTGGTGGTCAGGGGGCAGGGGTGTGGATGGTGGTCAGGGGAGAAACAGGGGGTTGAATGGGGGCAGGAGTCCTGGGGGGCAGTCAGGAAGGAGGGGGGGGTGGATGGGGCAGGGGTCCCGGGCGGGGGGCCGTCAGGAATGAGAGGAGGGGTTGGATGGGGCGGCGGTGGCCCAGGGGCAGTCAGGGGACAGGGAGCGGTGGTGTGTGGATGGGGCAGAGGTTACAGAGGGGCCGTCAGGGAATTGGGGGTTGGATGGGGCGGGAGTCCGGGGGCGAGGCAGATAGGAGGTGGGGGCCAGGCCACGATCCCCTCCCCTAACCGGCCCTCCATACAATTTACGAAACCTGATGCAGCCCTCAGGCCAAAAAGTTTGCCCGCCCCTACCCTAGCCTCTGTTTGCCAGAAGCTGGGAATAGGCGACAGGGGATGGATTACGTGATGATTGCCTGTTCTGTTCATTCCCTCTAAAGCACCTGGCATTGGCCACTGTGGGAAGACAGGATACTGGGCTAGATGCACTGACCCAGTATGGCCGTTCTTATATGCAGGAACGAAAATGAATTCTACAGTGAACTATAGGTCTGAAGCATGGATACAGTGGATCTAGGTGGATAATGGAAAATGATGCTGCACGAGGATGGTGAAGCACTATATGTTGTCAGACTCCATTACTTGAAACATTCAATAAACAGCGTTAGAACTTTCTTTGAATATTAATGCTTTCTAAAGATGTTTATTGTTTAAATTATTCAGTATAATTTACCTAGCTCACAGGGTACTGTGTGGGTTATCAACAAATATCTGAACAGTGTTTTGGAAATATAAAGACCTAAATAACTTCTAGGTATTATGACAACTTGTACAAAACAAACATAATAGGATCTGAAGGGTTCAGCATAATCTACAAGTCTACAACACGAGTAATAATCTACCCTCATTTAGGTTATGAACTGCCATTAAGGACAAGCATAGCTTTGCCCCAAAATGGTGTTCATATGGTTGAGTTAACATGACGAGCACAATTAGAAAAGTTATACTTTTGGAACTGTGGTTCTGAGCAATCTCAGATTTAGTTCTTGTTATCTGAACTGCTTTGTCAAAAACTCTAACAGCTAATATCTGCCCTGGAGAAGCTGAACATGTCATCTCCACAGGCTTGAAATGTACTGTACAATCTGAGCACATTGTGACACAATACAAGCACACAGTGACACAGACCTTCAGTGGGCAGATTACAACTTTTTAGGAGCGGCTTTCAAGGTTGATTTTCAAAATAAAGTGAAAATAAACAACTGGAAAAGTTGGATTTAATTAATTTTAGTCACAATCGGATTTATTTATTTAAATCGAATCAAACTAAAGCTAAAGATCAGCTCAACATATAAAGTGAAATCCCTCACACACCACTAGAGGGCCCTTTAGTCATGATGATGATAAATACAAATAAAAATGCAAGCTCTTAAGTGTAGTTTCTGCAGTGTATCCACGCAGGAGAGAAACACGAGGATGGAGTTCTGTTTCCCAGACTTGAAAGCGCATAATGAATTAAAATATAAGTAGATTAATTAATAAATCAACCCCTTTGCTTTTTTAGCATGGCTGTAGCACATAATTGTGATGCCATGCAGATTATTAAAGCTAAAGAGTAGAGTCATGCCTCTCCCCACCTGAGTTATTAAACTAAAATTGTGTATTGGGGATACATGCTTGGTTGCTGGGAGAAATGAGGGGCATCCTCCTCTCACTGGCTGATTTTATATGAAGCTTGAAGGAATGATATTGATAACCACTTCAGAAGTTGGTTCCTGAGACTGCCACATTACAGGTAAACATAGAACAAGAAAATATAGTGGATACAATCAGTATCAATACATGATAAGCAGCACAATAATCTCAGCTTTCTTACCAATTTAAGCCTAAGGAGTTACCTGTGTTTTTGCTCCGGTGCTATATAAAAGTGCAGTACGTCCCATCGCTGCAGCGCTTGGTATGCAAAAGAAAAATGAAGGAATCACATTGCTGAGGCCATGAGCCAAAAGCTCCTGCAAAGTTTTTAAAAAGAATACATTGTTTTATTCTGTTGTTCTGTCATTTCAACATTTCTTGCCAACATGGGAATTCTCTATGTAAATATTAGCAATTATAAAGAACAAACTTTTAGGGGAAAACAGTAACATACAGTGTAAAAGATCTTCCAGCACTGTATGCTTTCTCAAGACTCTGTTCTAACCTGAATGATCCAGATGCTTAGCTAGATTCAAAAGTAGATCAGGGAGTTATATTGTCTTTGGAGAATAAATGGCATTGCTAGTTATTAGAGATAGGCTCCAACAAGAGATAGGCTCCAACCACAACATTTACATCCAGATCCATTTTGAACAGCCCAAAGTTTGGGGGTATTTAGCTCTGAAGTATGTTCAGGCCAATCTCCACTTTCAATAAGAAATTTTGAAAAAGAATGGTTAATTATCTTTGACAGCAAGTTTTAATGGCGTGGTAGAAATGGTAACTTGCATGTATATGGTATATGGTATCTTTCATGACTAATGTGCTTTATACCTCACCCAGGACAGAAATGCAGCTACCTCTGAGCAAAGACTTAGACATGAAAAGCCTAGTCAGGGTGAGGAAGCCTTCCAAGATCTTGCAAGCTGCATACTGAGGTGAACAGTGTGTTCTAATACAGTGTCTGATTATGGTTCTTTAGCATCAGTGCACTGAGTCAGGGAGAGAGTCTAGGGAGACCCTTTTTCCTCTTCCCCACACACTGGGACCATTAATGGTGCTGGCAATACTCACTGCCCCATAGGTGGCACATCCAGCCACCTGCCTGACCACATATCCTCCCACCTGAAAACCAGCAAGCTGCTGGAGGGCTCAGCTGTGCATGTGCATGCTACACATTTATTAACGGTGCAGCAAGGGCTGCAGACTAAGTACCCCTGGAGGCATTATCTTATTAATGCCATTTGCAGCTATAATGCCTGCCTTCCACCATCACTTAGGCCATCTATCTTCTTTCCCCCTTCCCCACAAAACATGGCTTTGTGATATAAGTCAAAACTAATGGAAGCTTGTGCGCAGAAATATTTTTTAAAACATGAGCGAATAATACGTTCACACATCCATGTCTCAATGATGTACTGATATAAGAGTTTGCAAAGACATGGGCTGGTCCAACCAAAACTGGGGTGTCCTGCAAAGACATTCAAATGAGTCTCCAGCTACCAGGCTAATCATTCACTGTTCAGTTGTGGCTCATCCACTTCATACTGCTCCGCAATGGGACAGGAAGGCAGGGTGGCATTTCAGTCCCACAGGCAGACAGAACTGGGAGGGGAACAGTTTTCCCATCTTGTGAATATTTTAGAGAGTTCAAACATTTTTACAGTCCTGACTCATGATGAACAGCCAAAATCTCAAAATAGTTAGCAAGCGGAACAATTTTTTTCCACTTTAGGTCAATCAAAACATTTTCTTTTGATAAGTTCAAAATGTTTTGTTTTGATTCTGACCTTTTTTCTTTTGTTTAACCTTTTTCAGTCTATTTAGCTTACATTTCAAAACAAAAAGTCAGTTTGAACTGGAAAACTGAACTATTTGTTTTGAAAAGGTCAAAATGAAATATTTAGACAATTTTGAAACGTTTTTTCAACATTTTTTGGAGATTCTGCTAAACTGACCTTGTTTCACGAACAATTTTGGTTTTGACTAACGGACTTTTCTGATGAAAAATGATTAGCTGAAAAATTCCCCATCAGCTCTATCTAAGGGACCATATCCAATAGAGAACTTGTCCCTAAGTACATGTATTTCCCACCAACTGCTTAAGTTATTATCTTCCCAGAGCACTCAGCCAACCTGTCGTAGCTCCTATGCCACATTCAACAGCAGAGTGGCATAAGCAGTAAACAGCCCACTGACACTTCAGCCTGTCCCTTGAGGAGTGGAACCCTCAGGACTGACAGCCTCTGCAGCTGAAAGTTTGGCACGGTTGTATGAATCAGCACTGCTCCTACTTCTTATAAAGAATTATCCTTTTCTTGAAATGGAACTCATGCTTTGCACAAGCCCCATTTTGTAAGATCAGGTGAGTCTATGGGGCTATAAGTTCCTAGCTCACTCAAGTTACTGCTCTATTTCTTCACTCTGTGGCCCATGTAAAATTCTTCTCTCACTAAGTTGCCTTGGAAGAAGCTGCCTCATGTTACGACACTGAAGAACACACCGAAACCCAAGCTGGCCACTGTTGGTGCCTAATGCAGCATTTCATGGCTTCGGCTGAGGCTTGTGTCCCCTTAGAATCAGTAGCAGCCTCCACAGACTAGGTAGCTTTGCAGAATTCATTTGGACTGCAATGGGTGTTTACTATTATCATCTGAAGTCCTCATGATAACATATGAAATGCCTCAGTCACCTGCTAAGCCTCAGTCACCTGCAAAACATCACAGTCATTTCATGATCTGCTGGCAGTGAAAAGAAAATGCTTTACCTGGTTATCATCCACAGAGTATTTGAACTGTTTAGCAGAGCCTTGAGCCAGGGCTAGTGATGCTACATAACCAACTAACGCTACTCCAAAAGCTTCAGTAACTACTTCAGAGAGGATGTTCAGGGATGGGGCTTTCGGTGCTGGTATCCTGTAAAGATAAATACAATCCTTTTTATTGGACTTGATACATGTGTGATAAATCCTGAACCAAAGTTATATTTAATTGGAATGCATAAAAGCTTTTTGCCCTAAATGGCACATCATTGCTACTACTTTTTCAGTTGCATCAAACAGTGGCAACAACAGCAGGAGCACTAGTGTAAAAAGGACGCTAGCAGCCACTAGCATTTTCAGAACCATGTAGACCTCCTTTAAAGCACACAGTGCTTAAAATGCCAATTGTAGCCTGTCACCTTGACAATATTAGTGCTCCTTCTGTTGCCAGTGGACAGAACTGGTGGTAGCCACAGTGCCCCCTATCTGAAAGATATATCAATGTTAAATCAGAAATGTATGCCCCAAAACATGTATTTTGCTGACTTAATATGTGGGGGATAGGAGAATGGGATGACTAATAATAATAATAATTAATAATAAAGTAACACTTCACAACAATTTAGGAGAGGAAGAATACCATATCCATTTAAAACTGCAGGGGGAAATTTAGACAGCCTGAATGAAACTATCTCAAATGGAATCTGCCATATGTAAAACAATGAACTAGTGAACTGCTAAGGGGTCCACATAAGTCAGCTCAGCCACTGAAATCTTGTTTCCTCATTTTGTAGCATACAACAATTTAATTTAAGCCTCTCAAAGCATTTACTGGTTTATGGAGGTTACGGGCTGCATTTGCATTCTTCAACACTTTCTGCAGCAATTCTTTGTGTGTTATGTAGCACACAATAAGCTTCTTTTAATTAAAGCTGCACAAATAAATCTTAACTCTTCATAATACATATTAAAGAGACGCGTTTAGCCTTGTCCAAACCCTGAGTTTAGATACGCGATGCCTAATTTACCCCCAACAGCTCTTATAATTGGCGCTCTCAACAGATCCCAGTATCTTCTTCCTATTGCTGCAAGTTCCCAATACACACACTGTCTCCTGGGCTTCCCAGAATGCACTGGGCCTATGTCAGATGGGGAAACCCTAGAAGTGGTTGGAAATCTAATGGATTAACTGCTGAGCCCCATTTTTAAATCTTATAAAAGGATAATGATCATGAGAAGCAAGCAGTATTCTGGGATCATGGACCCCAATGAAGTAGATTCTCGCTATCTATAAGGTGTTCATCACCATAGTAACTATGGTGCTTCTATATTTGTTAAAACACTATTCAAAAATACCTCATTTGGTAACATATTCCTGCAAAAAAAATTATTTCTTAGGAAATTTCCTATTAGACACCAATCGATTACTTGGGAGAGTGGGGGGAGAATGACTTAATATCCCAGTTTAGAAGTAAAAAGAAAAACAACTGACAAGGTGTGGAAACACTGCTGCAGAAGAAGGGTGCTATCTACCCACCCTCTGCCCCTGGCAAGCTCCTCCACAATACCTGGTCTGTGGCAGCACAGAGAGAATTATTTTGGTAGATGTACTGGAGGAGGAGGCCTGGCAGGTTGTGTTGTAGTAGGGGAGAATGTTTTACCACCCAACCTTTCTTATATCCACTGGATATCATTTGTCCTATAAAATAATGAAACAGTCTCCATAGGCACCTGAACTTCTGCATTGTTCAAGATGGTATCAACAAACTTCTCCAATGAGGGGCTATATTTGAGGGCTGAAATGAGTATTGCAGGTACTCTCCATTTTTATTTTATTTGATCTTTTCATGGACTGTTCTCTAAACATACATACATTTAAAACCCATAAGCAAATAAAGAACACATTACCCTTCTGGAATATGTCCCACAACTTCTAGGCCATACGTGTATTCCATATCAGCACAGTAGCAGCCAATGGATGTAGCAATGATCTATTTAATTCAGTACAGAAATGATGTTAATGTTCTATTTATTAGGTACTCATATTGCTGCAATATCTGAGTGCTTCACAATCTTTAATGTATTTATCTTCACAATACCCCTGTGAGGTAGGGACATGCTATTATCCCCATTATACAGAAAGAGAACTGAGACACAGAGCGGCCTAGTGACTTGCCCACGATCACACAGGAAGTCTGTGGCAGAGCAGAGAATTGAAACCAGAGCTCTGAAGTCCCAGGCTAACGTCCAACCACTGGACCATTCTTCTTTCCTCAAGTTGCCTACTAGAGTCCTGAAAGATGCCTCTCTAAATATTCCTTCCTAAAGATGCCACTCTAATGTCTTGAAATGTGCATACTTGTTAATAAAAATAGCTTTATTTAAGCATTAAGTGCAATATTCTGTTTAGAAAGGGTGAAGGCCATATCCATGGAAAACTATGCAAAAAATATTTTTCTTGTAAGTTTCACTACAGGATGCCATAGTATATAGAGCCAAAACATGTTGCTGCAACCCACTGAGGGCATAGCTAGGAAAATCAATGCATAGAACCAGAATCTGTAGGGATTAGTAGAGAAAATCTCATACTTCACTAAAATCCAACAAATGTTAAAAAGTTGTACAGAACTGATCCAAAAGAGTACATCTGCAATATGTTGAGCAATTACTGTAGAATATTGCAGGATTTTTGTACGGGAACATGAACATTTATGGTATTGGAGATTAAAGGAGATTATGGATATTTAAGTACGCATCTGCCAAACATGAACTGCTGCCCCCATACCCACACCAGTTATAGATGTTCAATTTGTGTCCACGGACCCAGTAACAAAATGCAGCACAAAACTGTATCCTTCCAAGTGCATGTTAGTATGCAGCCTGTCAATCCCAAAGTCTTTTTTTAACAAATTCTAGTGTTTTGAAGTAACAACATGCTCATAGACTTTCAGGTCACAAGGGACCATCATGCTCATCTAGTCTGACTTCCTGCACATTGCTGTTTAGGTTGCTTTCCTCTTGGGTACACCTCATGTTCTAAGTTTCAGAGAACTGGAAAACACATGTGCGAACTATTATTTGTATTAAGTATACCCTCTGCTCTATAAGTTTTCTTATTCAAATGTGACTGTCCCTCTTCAAATCTGCACACCAAGGGGACAATCCATGCATGGATCTACTTGTGGCTACTAGTAGGGGAGCAGCACCATAATTCCCACCCTCTCAGGACCAGCACATGGTGTTCTGTGGGCATGATCTACACAAGTTGGTGGATCTCTGCACAGTGATGCTAGGAGAAACTCAGTAAGGGGATCTTCACAGAGTTTTCACTCCCCCGCAAACATTTTTCTGTGGGTTTTTCAGCCCATTCATGTCCTTTTACTTTTCAGTTTTTTTTTAAATCAGTTGCAAAGTGGCTGAAGAATTTCACTGTTACCTGACATGTTGCTGTGTATCTTAGCTTGAACAATAGCATCTCCCTTACGCTGTGGTGGTTTAGGTCTAGTGGTTTATTGCCTGTGCATTCCCACAACTTCCTCCTGACTTCCCCTCTGTCTAACTCCCTTCCTCAAAGTATTTTCACAAGTATCTGATTAGGTCTCTTATGGTTCCTGGGACATGCTATACAAACACTTTTCTGACTGGATAATAGCTCATTCTTTCCTGCTCAGACATGAAATTGCTTCTAGCTTAAGCCTTGTCTATTGTGTACTTCCTGCCATTTGGAGGGCATATGCCAGAACATAGTAGTCCCTCAACAAATAAATAGTTAGGGCTTGCAGTGTACATGGGGCCAAGCTACGTTGTAACAATATTTGTAAATCATGCTAGAGTCTCAGGTGTTCTAACACAAAAAGTCTCTGGTCTTACAAGCTGCTGTGTTTCTAGTTCAAACTTCTAAACTAAGTTTGCACCTCTCAGAGGGTTTATATATGTGGCTAAGAGACATAAATATTAAATTCTATCCAATTTGCATTCTTAAGGACACAGCTAAGAGATACAGTCATGGGCGGTGGGTATAATAGGCCAGGGAAGACTAAGACTTCCCTGACACAGCTGCCGCTGACCCACTGCCAGACAGCTGGGCAGTGGTGGCCCCGCCTCTTCCCCTCCCTGCGCCCCTTCCCCAAGGTCCCCACCAGCTGCCTGACTGGTAAGTCTTCCTCCTCTCCTTCACTCCACCACCCCTCTCTGGAGGTCCCAGCCACTCTCAGCGTCCCTCCTCACTTCCCTTCCCTGTGGGAGCAAGGCATTGAGGAGGGATGTGGCAAGCCAGCGGCAGGCAGGAGAGTGAGGAGGCCAGCGGTGGGTGGATGGGCAGGGGAGTGATAAGGCAAGCAGCAGGGGGTCTTGCTGTGGGCAAGGGGGTGAGGAGGCAAGCAGCAGGCATGAGGGGGTCTTACAGTGGGCAGGGGGGCTCTGGTGGGGGAGTGAGGAGGTGAGCAGCAGGCAGACGGTGTGTGTGTGTGTGTGTGTGTGTGTGTGTGTGTGTGTGTGTGTGTGTGTGT